TATGTATGTATGTATGTATGTATGTATGTATGTATGTATGTATGTATGTATGTATGTATATATATATATGCGACATCTTTGATACTTTTTGTTTAGTTCTCATCTCCTGGCTACGATTAGCATATTTTAATGTATTTGATAGCGTTGAGCGGAGATAGTCAATGGGCAAATGGGGCAGGACTATATGGGAGGTTTCATGAGCAACAAAGTGGATGGGATTGCAGCCCTCCACCAGGCACGAGGCCATAAAATCCGCTGAGCATTTGGGGAGCCTGATGAAATGCGATTACTTTCAGCTAGTCTGGTCAACACAATTTAGGGTCAAGTGAACATGACGACCAAACAAACATGCTGACGAAGAGGCTTGGATCGTTGTGGATGATTTTCAATATTAGTTTGATTGTAAAAGGTCTCAAGAGGCAAATTTAGAGGGAGAGTCAATCCAAAATGGAATAGGAAACCGATGTGGGAATTGGGCACGAGAAGAGCTCTGCCTTGTCCTCAAACGGACCAGAGGAAGGCCGGTTTGCGCGTAAAAGTTCCCAAAAGACGACCAAATATACACTCATGGCGAAACCTGGCGCAGACTGATTGATGATGCACCCCGTCATAAATAGTCCTTCTTCCACTTTCCACTGAAGCAATCTTCGAGGTGGCCAAGTTTTAGTGTAATATACTTTTTGGGCAGATGCTCAATGGTCCCATACGAACGATGGCTGCTTCATGAATGGACAATGATCGAACTTTGCTGCCAAGTAGCATTATGCCTCATCTGGTAAATTCTAGAACATTCTAACATGATATATAAGATGTGTTCACTCTAGTATGTTTAGGATGATGAAGGACTGAGAAGTGAATTTTCCTACGCTACCATTGAATTTTCAACAGCCTTTATTCCCAAAAGTTATGCTCATTCAAGCAAGAGTGGACTACAGGTATGACCTTGACTAGGTCTCATCCGCACCCCCAGCGGGACTCGAACTCGGGTTGTTGTGAAGCAGCGTATAAGCTATACACGTAACCACTACGTCAGACTACCATTAGTGCTCTTGGGTCAGGGAAAAATTTGCATTTTATGGAGGGCTCTTCATTTTCCCAAATCACATTCTGTGGTGGGATTGTTGATGAAGTAAAGTTGTATTTACCATGGCAATCAGCTAGATTACTTATTTTTACTGATAGTCTTGAAATCTTAGTCCAAGCTAAACTAAGAGTGCCAGTGAGGCTGAATAGACTACATAACGATTGCCGCTAGTTGAAAGACATTTAGAATTGCTTCAGAAGTTATATTCAAAACCATCCTACTTATAAGGAATCAAAGTAGCATAGTTGATTATAATATCAAAAGCTAAAAAATGTATGAACAACCTTTTCAGGCTATCATAATATTTTTATATTACTATAAATTAACGTGCTGAATGCAGTCATATTTGGATTAAATAGCAAAATTATTAATCAGTGTGCAGTTTTGAAAATTCCACTCAGATTTGTCCACAATTTCGACTTTATGAAATGATATGACAATTTGGTACGAAACAAATGGTTATTTCACATCGGGAAAAATGTTGGTGTTTTTGGTATAAGACCATTCAAAGGATTAGCTACAATCGCATGTGCTTGAGGTGTAGAAAGCTCATGAGTGGCCGTGGGGCCGACCTAAAAGCATATTTGTCTCCGGATGCTCCTTACCCAGAATATAGTATGTTTTTTCGACCGCTAGAATACGCATTTTCACCTAAATTATAGTTGAAATACAAACCCTATATTCTGTGACAGGAATATCCGCCATCTCCGGGGGACTCCAGTGAATCTCGAGGCTCAGGGTGGCAGTTAGGTTGTCACTATTCATCTCTGGACTAATATCTCCGCCACCCTGTCCGCCCGAACCACCGGAAGCAGCAGACGCGCCTGTACCCATGGCCTGTATCCGAAGCACACCCTCGCGGAGATGCCGAGGTGGTGAGGGTGGCCTCGGGGGCTCAGAGTTCCAGGCGACAGGCGGCGAGATGCCGGGCTCGTGGAAACCACGAGAGCCCCAGCGTGTGGCCGCGGCCACCTGGAATTGGTACCACCAGCCAACACCGGGCTCGCTGAGACGTCGACTCTTCTGAGTTGTCTATCACGACATCGGTGAAAGAGATAAAGAGAGAATGCAATAAGAATAGAAAAAAGGGAGAGAAAGTGACAAGGTTAGAGTGAAGGAGCAGAGTTTGGCAATAAAAATGGCAAAAATTCAATGCTATATGCGCTTCCATGAAGCTTGTTGAAGATGAGATAATCAAAATTAGCCGTCACCAAGGCTCGGTGGAACAGAAAAAGGAAAATTAGAGGAAATTTTATCATCAAAACCTGTCATTCATGAGCCGTATTGGACTGGAGCTTAAGGAGAAACGTTCGACTTAGCATACAAAGGTGGTTTCCTGGCAAATCAGGTACCTGGTTCCAGATGTAATAGTGTAAGTTTTCACTTTAGCATTTCATTAAAAGCCCGAGATGAGGTGAAAAGAATTATAGATTTAGTTTAGCCTCGTTGTATTTCACAATAAACATGACTTTC